TTTTTGAAATGCACATTGTTCTTGCCACTGAAACTCAAAAAATGACTTTGTGTAAGTCACACCAGATGCCGCGTAGGGGTTTTGTATCTCCTGGAGGCCCCTCAGTACCAATCTTGCTTCATCTCGTCGCTTGAGTGCTGCATTGAATTTCCTTTTTAACCATGCAGCTGGGTGCATGTAAGCAAAGAATGATCAGTGTAACTCAAATGAACGACTGATCCACAACAATGTAAGATATCAAGATTGACTCACGTAAATCCCGTTTGCCCTTCCAGTTGTGATACTTTAACCGATGGGCAATTGAAGCTAAGCGGTGGTTGCGAGTAGAATACCTCAATGGGCTGACCAAGGGAGATAAGTATGACCATAAGCGTTCAAGGCCCTCTCCGTCTGAGAGGCCCCAACCATTGTTAAGTCGTGGATGATAATCGAGTTGGCATATCCAGTTGTGCACGTATGCATGAAACACTGAGGTCCCAAACGAGAGTCGAGACCGATGTTCGCCTAGGAGGTCCCTCTAATTAGTTCAAAAGCCAATCAGTTTGTGATCTTGCAGTCAAACAAGATAGAGGGAGGTACTTACCGCACGCATGTACTTGTCGAGAGAACAGCCAATGTCATAAAGGATGCCGATTTGACGTTCACCCTCGCACTCGGCCAATAACTTGTTGATGATGGCAATTGGCAGGCACCGTTGCTCGCCAGATTTGTAAATATTACCCATGTGTATTGCTGAGTCATGGCGACAGCAGCAGCCGATGAGCCCTGTGTCATCGCAGCCCTTCCATGTCGACTCATTTCGCTTATCGTCAGCAGCCTTGTGGGAATCGGCACATCGATCGGCCTGTTGAGTCATTTTTGAGTACTGCACAGGAAAGCGTATCATAACAAAAATGAAGATATTACTACTAACCCTTGCTGGGGGACTTAGTTCTATCTCTTTATCTCGGATAGTCGTTTTCATGTTTGCAAAATCACTTGGAGGGAGGAAAATTCGAGGGGTCTCTATTGGTCGATAGTCGCGGCTGGCTTTGGTATGGTGACGATGCTGAAAGTTACCGTCAAGACATACAATGAGCTTATCTCGCGTTTGGGACGGGTAGTCTTCAGCGTTGGGCGGGCGGGGGCCAAAACAAGCTGGACAATTTTCAGATGCAAGAATTTCTTGGGGATCCAACCGTAAAGCCTTGAATACCAGCTCGTCTGTCCTGTTCTCCAACGTCCGATACAGGTCGACAGTGGCCGAGAAGGGCTTCCGGAGCTCACGAGCCTAGACCAGCTAAGTGAGTAAGCACATCCAAATAATGTCTAAGCATTCAAGTCACTTACGTGCTTCTTCCCACGGGCATGTAGTCGTTCTGATCGAGGTTCCAACCATTCATTGAGTGCGAGGGTAAAAGGTTGGGCCCCTACATGGCAGTGATTCCATAATGAGTTATGGAATGTCAACAGTGGGAGAGAGAAAGCCGTCTGGGGTCGAATAGGTGTAGCCGGTAGGAAGCCTTGCTGAAGTAAGCGAACTGCATCACTAGTGCATCGGCAGAATGGCAAGTGGATTCTTTGCTGGCCTAATTGGTATCAATGTACACATCTTGGTTAGCCTTTCAACCAGTCCTTCAGAACAAAGTATGTTCAACCAAATGGTACTCACCATGGATGTCGACGAGGTCCACCATTCTGTGTGTGAGTAGGTGAGGGGCACATTTGCAATTTGTATGGTCGTTGTAAGAGTTTGCCCGGTCAGTCCAATTCTTAGTCCGCGCCTTCAAGTCCATGTAATATGCATGAAGCGGTTCAAGGACAGTGTTCCAGTTGACCTCCTTGGCCTCCTGTCGCCACCTTTCCCGATCGGCAAAGGCAGCTCGGTCAAAGTCGTCGTTGTCATCAGCAGGGATAGTGATCCAATCGGTGTCGTCAGTTGGGTCTTCATGTACGGTGAAATCAACAGTATCATCTTCGGTTGAATTGAAATGGTCATCGTTGTTCATGATGGTGTTGCTGACACCTTCTTGATGTTGCTGCTGGCGCCTTACAGAATTTCGGTTGGCCACCTGCCCACCGTAAAATCGAGCTCGAGTGGCGGCAATCCTATCTGCGTTACGCCTGCGACGAATCCGTTGGGCAAGGGTACCAGACACAGGAGGTTGATCCACCGTTAAAGTCATAATGATCCTGTCAGAATGAAATTGGAAAGTTGGTCTGATGATAGTTACACATGCGCTGGACGTATGTTGGGCCGATTGAGCTTCGATAGGATACAATAGGATATGTTTGTTTAATAGACCAGCACAAAGGGTTAGGTTGAACTTGACATAGGAATTTTACTGTGCAAAAGAACCCACCTGGATGGAACAGTCCGTGCAATCTGGTCGGTATGGGTAGTTTTGATCGATGGTTGTGGGGAGTCCTGGTGGCCAGGTGGAAATATGCGGGTCACAGTGTTCACGCTTTGGTAGGACAGGGCTCAAGACTTGATGAAGGGTATGGGAGTGATATAGCTGAAGCAAGCGACAGAAGATGATTTGTAGGAGAGGTGATATTCTGGGAAAAGGTTAAGTTCTCCTGCCCAAGCGCTCTCTGGCAAAACATTGGACCTGGTCCGAGCAGTGTGGCTCATCGGACCCGCTAAATCCGAGTTTTTTTCGGATCATTCAAGCGATTTAATTGCAGGGCAGTCAGCTCAGTTGTTCAAGCAGTCAAATCTGGTCTACCGGAAATTCAACCCCAGGCACAATCAAGGACGTGGCATATCTCTACTTGGAAAAGAACCTATCCAAGTAATAGCTCCAAGCCAAACAGCGCAAGATTCCTTGAAATTCAAATAAGATATGAAGAGATGAGAAGATGAGAGAGAGAAAGAAAATAAATAAATAAAATAAATAAATAATAAAAAGACAAAAAGTTTGGATTGGATTGGATAGATTAAGATGAAGACAAGTCATGAAAGAAAAAGCATGGATCATCAGAGAGTGGGAGGAGGTGGGGGGGGGATCGACAAACAATAATGATGAGGTATGTTTGCCATGAATCATTAGAAAGCCGATATCGAGGGAGAAGGAGGGGGGGAAGTGGACATGAATCAATTGGGCAATCATGTCATCACAGTTTCCTACTATTTTTTTAGCCCGAGTTTTCTTTTTTGTTCTGTGACCAAAGAAGCCAAGAGAGAAAATCATTGGATGTAGCCAGTCAAGCCACGGGCGGCAAGTTGATCGGGGACTTGGTAATACTTGAGGAATTTTGATTGTTGGGAGCATGTTAGTAGTTGTCCACTAGGAACCAGATGATACAAATGTTGTCTCGAGGTATTCTTATGAACAATGAGGGAATATGACAGGCTGGAAAAGTCAAACCTTCCCAACCATTGACTTGCGCGTCATTTACAATAAAAAACACCAGGATGGTTGGGGGACAATCATTGATGGAGATTGAAGATTCAAATGTACATACATATGTTGGAGCTTTTGACTTGAGTGTACATTGCTCTTGGCCACTATTTGTTGGCAAGTGGGATATTTACGGCGCTTATTACATGATGATTGGTTGTGCAGAATTTTTGATGACTCTCGAGCTCTCCTTCGAGTCGGCATTTAAAGAATAGTTTCGCGTTGCTCTAGTGGATTGGTCACATTTGCTTCCTATCACACAGATGGGAAGAAGTCTATTAGACTCAGCTCCATATGAGTTTTGAGAACACATCTTACCATTTTCACCGCGGCTGGTGACAGGCTTTTCTGGGATAGAATTGTAATTTTGATTTCTTCCCCCTCGGATTCCAAAGGATTAGAGGTGGCTCTGTTGCTCTGGATCATTTTCCCCATCGAAGAAGTATCCTTAGAATTCGAGTCTTGTGGTGTTTCACCCAACTGATCTTGGTATAACCTCCACTGTCCTCTCGTCAAGTGCGTAATTAGTCTCTTAAGTCTGATGAAATAGAAATAGAGCAGGGATGCGTTTTATAAAGCAGGATGAAGAATACCTACGCATTGCCAGGCAATTGGGACACAAGACCATGTACAAGCCAGCGTCGACACCCACGATGTTACCCCTCGCCAGTAAGGCCTGAAAGGAAGAATCTGGTGCTCTCAAATTACCGATATCAGAAAATATTATGGGGAAATACGTACGACATAATGAAGTCGCCTGTCCTTGTGACCCACCAGCTAAAGAGAGTCACGCTAGTCAACATCGCTATGATGATGAATACCGCCCTGATCAGCAGATGGACTACGCATCCACAACAAAGAACTCAAATGCAGTCAGAAAACTGATGAGTATTCCGACGTTGCCAGATGATCGGAAAATGTGAAGTAATCAGCATAAGACTCACAAAATTGACGATTAATTAATCTTCGATTGCTCCGAGATTTCTCCTCGCTTGTGCTTGGCCAACCCTTGGGCTTAAACCAGCGGCAAAAGGGACTACTGGATTCGGATGACTCGTGGCCTGATCGACCATGTTGCTGTTGAAATTTTTTGACTAATATCGAAAACACGCCGATAAAACACTGGGGTGAATGAAAATTCTCGCAATGTCAGTCATTCTGCTACATTATCAGAGTAAACAGCAAATCCTAATCTAACCGATCCGCTCTTATCTCAACAAAAATCTAGCGTACTTACCAAGAAGGTTATGCAAATTAAGGCCAGCATAATTGAGAGTAAAATGTGAATAAAATGTATAGAACGCTCTACACGAATCAAAATTTGGTCGCCAAAGATTTTTGCTTCCGATACGACTTCGGCTAGCTGGGTGACCAGCAGGTACTTTTCATCCACAGACGTTGACGGCACTCTTAGTTGGTCCCAGTCAGACGAGCCCTGCCGCAGAGCATTCAGGAGCTCTTCTATCAGATTAACTAGCTGCGCATGGAATATAGACATGATACTAAATAGTGTAACAGTCGCTGATGTGGGCCATACCAGGCTCAAATTGGGGGAAAATCATCGAACATTCACGTAGACTTGGGCTATTCAATTCGATCGCCTCGAAAGCAATGTTAAGACAGCCATCCAGGAAAGGTCTGAATTTTTCCTTGCCGACAGACAGCAGAAGCCAAAGTACCGACAGTGTCTCGAGCAACACCCCGCAACTCCTGCTCGTCTCCCTCGCCTTTGAGAGAAAGGAAAGGAGTGATCCGTTGCATACAAATGTCGAAGTAAGGCTCGAATGCGCCTTTTGCGGCGTAGTAAGCGGCGGAGCCAATCGCACCGACCACAGTGCCCTTGAGCTTCGGAGGAGCGGAATCGATCATAGGCACAAGACGCTCCATGAGAGGGTGAAGGTAGAGCCCTATCGTTTGGTCGTCAAGCACTTCTAAGAGACCATCGAGAGCTGTCATCGCGTTCCTCTGGCAAGCAGGGTCGTTGAGTAAGGCGGAAACCCGGGGAACGAGAATTTGGTGTCGACTGGCACATTTGTCTACCAGCATCTTGCATATGCAGGACAAAGCGGTACAGGCGGCCCGTCGGACACGGGGGTCGCTATCTTCCAAACCTGTGTCGATGAAGGGCCATAGCTGTTCGATGTGTGGCTGAATGAACAAAGAGCAGCCTGCGACAGTAACTCCAAGAGCCATAACGGCAGCGTTACGTAAGGTGGGATTGGTACTGCGGAAGCATTCTTGGATTCGAGAGTAGAGTGCTGGGAAGACAGCTTGGGGAGAGAGGGAGGTAGAGAGGGCATCGAGACATCAGAAGGCTGTCTGTAGGTGGAATAGCAGATAACAAGAAATCAGTAATCGGAAACACTGGACTGGCAAATGAAAGATAACCTACTCTAGCCACCGAATCATCTTCAGGGTCCTCGGGCTTGTCTTCGGCACCAATGGTAATCAAAGAGTCGACGATAGGTTTAATCAAGTCCATCGAAGCTATCTTGCTCTTCTTGAACTTGACGGTCCAAAGAAGACAGTTGAGGGCCATTATTCGTTGGGATTTGTCAAGTGACTTATTGTTGCCGATGGTAGCGTTGAATTCGACAACTTGGGTGAAATGAGCATTGATCAGAGGGACTTCGATGATCAAGAGCGTTTCCAAAGTGTCAAATCCTTTCTTGGCAGCATTTTCATCACCGGCTTCCAAGGTTTGGCCAATGACGACTAGCATCTGGGGTATCATCGCCTGGAATGAGGCCTAGGGGGGGGACAAGGGGGAGAAGGAATGAGACAGTGGTCAACAGCTGCTGAATCATAAATTTGGCTGAGTGGATCACTCACAATGAAAGCTTCCTCATCAACTTCGATGTACTCGGCAACTCGACCGAGGGCTTGGACGGTGGTCACACGGACTTCGAGACTTTCGGGATCCTGGAGAGGTTTGGCGAAGAGGGCGTAGATTTGAGGGAGATTCTCGGCATATGAATCGACGATGGTGTCCATCAGACTAGAGAGCGTCAAGATCGCGACCTCTCGTTCATGGGCCACCGGACTGTCTCTTGCTTTGATCAAAAAACCTAACAGTTGGGGCCACGCTTTTTCGGGCAACTCGTATTCGGCAACCTCTGAGATGACACGAGCGATCGCATGTCGCGTGATGGGGACTGGTTCAGAGACGACGATTTCGAGAAGGCGCGCCTTGATCGCATCTCTCATCGAAGATTCGAGTTTTTTCCAATGTTTTCGTTTCCCAGCGGATAGATACTCGTTTTCGGAGCTCAACAGCTGATAGCTGGCGGACCGCTGGCGTGCCACATGTTGTTAGGATTTCAAATAATCCAGGAATGGCGAGTGGAGAGCGGTAGAATTGTTCATTGAGTGCTTGAGTGGCCTGTTAAGATCAGCGCGTTGGTCAAAAGCAATGGCGATCCAAAGTTTGAGTGCTTGAAGAACTTGGGTAATAACTCCCTTCCGAATCGTTCTGATGAGACAACAAAGAAGGAGTCGCCATTGGGTTCGCTCCACTTGATCAGGTGATCAGTGTTCGGGTCGTTTACCATGCTAAATAGAGGAAGCAGTGTGAATGTAGTCAGCCCTGGAACAGATAATTACTTGTCATTTGTTTATGTGTAAAAAAAATTGGTCTTTGTTTTGATATCGTAGTAATGCATTATTTTGATTTCCTAGTTAGACTTATGGGGAGATGTGAAGGGATAGAAGCAAGCAAGTAGTAGGACAGGGAATTTTATGAAATCGGACAAGTCAAGAGTAGAGTGACCGACGTGAATAGTTTAGTTACGAATGCTGGGATCGGTCTTTCGGTATTCCTATGAGAGCTTCCTTTATCAACGGTCAACACACCTGGATGAATGCGCTTGGTGATAGCCATCGATGGCTGATTGGGGTCGGTGACTGTGTTGTTGGTATTCGGATATGAGTTGTTGGGAGACTCTCGTTGTTGGGGTGGTGGGTTTCTTGCTGGCTTGGTATAGGGAAGCTCGGTGTGTAAGGGCCGGGCAGATTGGCTATGTACATATTTAGTATGGCTATAGCCGGAGGCTGACCGGTTGAGGTGTTGAGGCGGCTCGGTCGGGGAGCGGTTGGGTGGAGCGGGGTTGGCACGGGCTCGGGCTCAGGGCAGGGTTGCGAGAGGGGACTTGGAGACTTGAAGGGGGGTGGAGGGAGGTTGACTGGACCCCAAATTGAAGGGGGAGGGGGGAACACAGGGAGGATATTTTTTCAGTGGGAAAACTGTACTGTAGCGTGCTTTATTTCCATGTTTTATCTTGCGTTTGAGTATGGTAGTTTGGGTTTCCCACAGGTGGGTTAATTTGGCGCTGGTTTGTGATCAACTTCTACATGATCAGAAAGCCACAGTGTGAGAGCCTGGCTACTACTTCCTTTTATTGAATGACTAGAGTAAACCATCTATATTATGGAAGAGTAGAGGGCAGTTTTGTAAGAAATGGTAGAATCGATTACTTTTTTGAAATAGTTTATTTAACCCAATAGAAGTAACAATCTTACAATCAATGAAAAAGATAAGTAAATTGTAACTAGACAGGTATGGAGGCACTGGTGTGCCAAATGTGCCAAAAAAATCAATAAATGAAAACCCATTTTTTGAACAAATCAACCGACCAAGCTACCCAAACAAGCACTGAAACATCCCTGGATAATGATGCACTTCCCTGCAGCCCCCTTTGACGGGCATCCATATTCTGCTTATGCTTCCCTACACAGTATGTATAGCAGAAACCAGGTAATTGAAGGTCGATACCGTGGCCCCGACAGCAGCAACCTGAGAGCTAAGAACCTCGTCTGATGTGTTCCTTCAAAGCTAGCGCCAGAGCCAATGATGTTGCAAGGCTTGTTGGCCTTCTCGATCTTGCTGAGTCCCAGAGAGATCTTACCGGTCCCAACGTCGGCAATCGCGGCCCGGTACCCTTGGAGCCAAAAAAGATGTTTGTCTCAAGCACTATGTAGTCCTTCACCTCAGCATTCTTCCAGTGCCCCTCAAGTATCCCTTGATATTTGGAGGATACATTTGCCATCCGGGCCGTCATCCCATTCGGTTTGACTGCTAGGACCACCCTCTGCGTTATATGTAATGGCTGTTTTGTCTTGGTACCATGTTTGGCATCCCTATGCAATTGAATACAGCCTGGCCAGTATGCACATGTCAGAGGTATGTATTTCAAAAGATTGGTTGTGAAAATGTGATTTTGATTTTTCCCTGGCTCGTTTGGCACTTCAGAGGCATCAAAATGTGTTTTTTAATTTTTTTGGCTCGTTTGGCATGTCAGTGCCTCCATAGACAGGTCAACAAATGATGAAAGAAATAAATACCTGATAGAATAAATCAGTATGTAGCAAAACTCTCAAAACGATAAAACGACGTCGACTTTCAAAACACAAGGATTATCACAACGTACTAGCCTGTAAGAGAAATTGATAATAGAAACGGTCAATACAATGAACAACTATCATCAAAGGAAGATTTGAAAGAACTACCTGCCCAGAAGCTAGAACTAGCTCCTCCTGAGTGTTTGAAGTGGACGATAGTTAAATCGAAATCAAGCTTGATTGATCAGCGAAAGAGATTAATGACCTCGGTGGTTTTTGATTGATCGATGAGTGATCAATGAATGATGATGAGCAACAAGGAAGGGGAGAAGTATGATCGGCGAGTCGAATGTTGCTTGCGGAAGGATAAGAATGATTGAGTTCGAGTAGATTGCCGAGACACGAGGATGACGACTCTGAGAATTCATAATGAATATCATTTTGAATAAAAAACTCAATGTGCCGAGTTTAAATCCAACAAGTTTATCTTTAAGGAAAGATAAACACTTGAAGAGGATTTTTATAAGGGTTATGTCTGATTTGAGGTTTTTATTATTGAACTCAAGATATAATGATAATAATAAAACAAAGAAATCACAATGACAAAAAGAAAGGAAAGGAAAACCCAACAACAATGTATATACATAATAATATAGAAAACAAACTCGAATGAAAGATAATGAAATTAAAAATCATTATAATGAAGTCAACTATCTATAAAGGATTCAAATAATAACCAACTTGCACATATCATAAGTTAATAAACTTATTTATCAGTAACCTTTATGAAAATTATCTATAAATAAAGATAAATAGTCAACTAAAAACTCAAATGTTACACACAGGGCCAAAACTTTCTTTCTGCATACATGATACAACTTCTGTCTTTTGAATTTGACATACATCTCCGGGGTACATTCAGAGTCCCCGGATTACTTGCTTAAATCCAACAAAATTCAAATTTTGAAGTGTTACACATCCTTAGTTGAACTTGAGGTATAACATTTTATAATCTGATTTCTTTATTTCAGTTTCAATTCAATTGTGCTCACAGATTTCTGTTGAATCTGTTAGATCACACACCAGAAGCTGTAATACTGTGGCACAGTTTAGGTCCCTGCCCAATAGCTTCTTTGACTCTTCACACTGCAAGGTATACGCTGAGTGAGACAGGGCTTGTTAATCGCAAACTTGACCAAGTCCCTCCCGAGGGGCCAAAGGCGTCCCTCTGGGAGGGACTTATGCCTGACCAGTGATTTGGGCCTGAGAGGTAAGGCATTTCTCCTCACCTTTTCTGCTAAAGTCATTGTATAGGCTTATAGCACAGGCTTGGTGTAATGCCTTGATACATTTGGAGTTAGACTCAAATGAGACCAAGCTACATCCCACCCTCATTTTGTGTCTTCTGGCCCTTCCGAATTCTGAAAAATGAAGAATGTAGCAAAAAAAACTGGAAACCTTTTGTATTTTTTTCCCTTGGGGTAAGTGTATAGATCTACTAAAAAAAAACTGTGTTATATGGACCCCAGGGTCAATTTTGGCAATCCAACATCCTCAACCAGTAACTGATTGTGAGCCAAAGAGCCCATCCCATGATGATCTTGATGCATCAAAAATTAGACAAGAAGCAAGGTTTTTTTAATTATGGAAACAAATTTGCGGAATGTTTCATGGTTACAGAGCTATTACAAAGTTAATACAAAATGTCATATTTGACAATTCCTCTCAGGCCAAAATCACCAATACCGCATTGGGACTCAGTTAATTTTGGCTTTTTTGCTGTAATGGAGATTTTATTCAGCAGTTGTAATCCCATCTTGACCCAACTTGTACACATATGTCTTGCAGACTGTCACAAGGTTCTTTCCAGTACTTGTCTGCACTCTATATCTGCTGAGGAGTTTTGCATTTGTGGAACAAGCTCCTCTTGCTCAGACCAATTGCTCTAACTTAAATACACCGCAGGTTCTGGTGGACAAGTGCTTGACACTAGAGGCGGGTTTGTTGGCTTGACCTGTGTTGCCCCCACAAATTTTTGAGGGTGTTTCAGGGCACAATTCCCCACATTTGGCTTGACCCTGTACCGTGGTTGAAAGGCTGGTTAATTAGTCCCCACAATCTCTCCTCTTCAACATTCTCCTCAACAACTAACTGGTACCAGAACAATGTGCTTATTGTTCTGTTTGTGGACCCGCTCATGACTCAATGTTCTTGGAGAAAAACTAAGCACATACACCATTCTTTCAAAAAAAAAAAAGATAAGATAGACCATCATTAGTGCCAAAAAAACTCTCCTCCTCCCCTCTTTGATGAGTTTTAATCATGACAACTAGGATTGATGATTCATAAGAAAGAAAACCGGCCTAGTTGATAGTACTTAGCTAGTTGTAATAATTGGGAAGCAATGTCCAATTTCCAAAACATACAGCCGATAGAGATTCCAAATAAAAAAAGGCTCATAGCTAGATCAATAAAACAACCAGTTGCAGTTATATATACACATATACTTGTAAGATTGCAAGGACGAACGGCCCAAGGAAATGAGCCCAGTCGAAGCCCACATGTTATTTCCGACGACCATGTATGCAGACACAGCTTACTGCCCACATTTGTACATCCACGTCTCATTGATCTTGAGGAACTCGGACCGGATCCCAAGCAATCCAGTCAACGCATCCTTCAACGGCGGGCTGAGGAACCGGAACGCGTCCAGCCCGTTGTGGTAGTCAAAAATGTGAAAATTCAAAGTTTTTTCCATTTCTTTTTCTTATATATATATTTCTTCATATTATCACCCAATCACTCTCAGAATTAATAACATACGGCTCATGAACTGGACTCTACGGACAAATTCACCCTTGGTCACCACG